TTTTCTTCAATGACGCCGCACGCATACACCTTCTAAGGAGAGGAAGCGGGCACGCGGCGCAGGCAAGGCGAGTCCTACAGCGGAGGCCTGCGGCGACGGGCCCGGCTGCAGCGGAGGGGGGCCGAGGAGAATGCGAGCGGCACGAGGCGCGGATCGGCGGAACACCCAAGGGGTACAGCTGGACCGAGGATAGAAAACTATCCTTCAGGGTACCCTTCCCCGGGATGCACAAGAGCATACAACAAACACGAATAATATCAGGGTGCCCTGCCCGAACCGACCTCGATCTTGCACCTCAGTCTGGCCGTGAGGCAGAGAGGGCGGGCGTCCTCAGAAGGCTCAGCTCAGAAGGCCCCTAGGCTTTTGAATGATCTTCCTGAGCCTTCTCCGAAGCCACGGGCGACCTCTCAGACGGCTGGCGGGCTTCTCAGAAACCCCGCCGACTTCTGAGAAGGCCTGCCCCCTCAATGATCATCGCCGCCTGGTGTTCGGGTCATGACTCGGGTCTCCCGCGGCTGTTCGGGATGCCACTGGGTACCCCTGGACGCCTCTCGGCGAGGCGCAGCTGCTGGGACGCATGCCGAGGCTGAAGAGCGCAGAGAGTCTACCGAAAACGCCCGAACGCCTCTGACCTCGGACCCGAAACGTCAACAAACTTCACAACTCGAGGCGCCGCCCAATGAAGACACAAAATCCACACAACTAGACGCTCGTGTTATGTCGTTGCCATCGTACTTCAGGACCACACCCCAGAAATAAGTTCGAGCACCCGGAAAAGTGTCGAAAGAGTGTCGAAACATTGTCGGACGAGTGTCTCCCAGGGCCCGACACGTGAAAACCCTCGAGTTTCGGCATATGTTTGGTACTCGAGATTCTTTCTGGCGATCAAGGCTACAATAGGTTGGAACATCACAGCGCGCGTGAGAAAGCGTTTGGGATCCGGCAACCGCGCATGCGGCGTGCCGTGCGCGCGAGAATGAACTGGACGGGGTGCTGTATGGGGGGGTTGTCAATGTTCCGACGGGCTGGGCCCGCTCCCGTTCGATCACACGCCGACATTGATCAGGGATCCACGGGCCTGCAAAAGGGTGTCCGAGTAGATTGGGTCGGGAGGACGCGCCGCATCGCTGAGACATCGGCGATGCATCGGCGACGTCCGCAGGGCATCGACGCCGTTGGCGCAGAGAAAATCTGCTGCGCATCGAGCCGCATCGGGGATGCATCTCGGCGGTACGGCGCAATCCTCCGACCCCATCTTGACTACCTACCAGACCACCCCAACCCAACCCGAGACCCGAATTTGACCCGAATTTCGGGTTGGGGGGGGTACGGGTTCCATGTGTTTTTTCAATGTTCCCTGACCCCCCCCACTGGAAATCGAAGATAAATTTGGGCCTTCGGGTTGGGTTGGGGTGGTTTGGTGGGTGGTGACATCTACCACGACCCCACTCGGGACGCCCAGAGACCTGTAGATCCGGCGCGTGGGCGCGGAATCCAAGCCACGGATCGCGTAAGGCCCCCCTCGAAACATCTCGAGCCGGTGCCGCCACATTCGGCGACGAGGCGCGCCGATTGCGCCTGGCCATCGCTCGGACGTCCATTCTCTGTGTGTTGTTCGGTATCGTGCGTGTTTTTTTCGCCATATGGTCGAGGATGCTCCTCGGAGGTCCTCGCCGAGAAAGAAAATGCACACGTCCGAGCGATGCCAAGGCGCATGGAAGCAAGACCCGTCGCTGATTCTCGCACCTTGATCCGTGTTTTCGTTTACTCGACTCGTGCGCGCTACAGTCGAGGCGTTGACCTAAGGAAGCCCAACCAAGGAACGAGGCCCCTTTTTTCACAGGTTCACCTTCGACTTCCCATTGAAAGCTTACGAAAAACCTTGGGCAAGGTGTGGAACAATTAAGGAGCACCGAGCCCCTCCCCAACGAAAAGGGTTCCTTCTTCAGCGCCCCGACTGTACTAGCCCACATGAATCGCCCCCCTGCGAGCCCCAACCCCCGCGCGTTGGCAGAGGTGTGCGCCAGCGCATCTGGACTGGGGCGCACCACAACGACAGGGGTTACGGCCGGACCTAGGACAGAAGAACATCCTGCCAGAACAGGAGACCCTCTGCCTGCCAGAACACACATAATATCCAAGGACACCCTGCCCAAGAGGCACGAAAACATCTAACCAACACGAAGAACATCGGGGTACCCTCCCCTAACCGGCCTCGATTTTAGTCTCGGGCCGACCGTGCTTCTGGACGGCACGGCCTACACTGCCCTGGAGAAGACATGCCACTCTCGCGTGCCGTCCATCTCCTCGTGCCCCTCTTTTTCGGTGCTGCTCGCGAGGTGCGCCGCGCCATATCCGATTTTTCCGCCGTCGGCCGCGGCCGACTCAACATTTGAAATCGGGCGTCCACAGGCGGGGGGGGGGCAAGAAATCCCTCCAGCCCTTTGGGCGTTGGCGGTATAACGAGTTCTTGTTTCTTACCAGCCTGGAACATATCCCTATCCCTATGCTGGGCACCTCCTCATCACGATGCCAATCTTAGGGATTGCCTTATTTTTTGAGGGCGGATCCCTAAGATTGTCATCGCCTTTTGGCGTGTCGATCTTAGGGATAGAGATACGTTCGAGGCTGGTAAGTGTCCCTCCTCCCAAACCTTGCTCCCTTCGGGGAGGGGTAGCCTTTCCTTCCCCTCCCTGACGTTTTTGCTTTGGGGGGCGCCATGTGTCTGAGTGTCGCCCGAGGTGGCTCCAAGAGGACTGTCCGATGCTGCAGAATGGCCTGCAAAACTGCTCGAGAAAGCCGAAGATGGCTCAAGAGAGCTTCCGACATAGCTCCATGAGGCCCGACGGGGGCCCTCCGAAAAACGATGATGACTGCCTTCTCGCCTGTTGGCTTCCGATGCGCTTCTGAGGCCTCCGGATTGCCCCGGGATGGCCCAAGAGAGCCCCAATATGGGCCCATCAGGCTCCCAAGCGGGCCCTTCAGAAGCGATTTCGATGGCCCCAGGGAGGAGAGGCATATTTGGGACCCCCTCCCTTTTTGATCGATAGTCTCCACGATTTCCTTCAGAGGCTCCCCAAGGCCCCCAAGAGGGTCCCAAAACGGCCTCGAGAGCGCCCACAGAGCGCCCCAAGAGCGTCCAGCGAGGGCCCCAAGAGGCGGTGCCGTCTCCTCCTCCTCCTCCTCCTCCTCCTCCTCCTCCTCTTCCTCCTCCTCCTCCTCCTCCTCTTCCTCCTCCTCCTCCTCCTGCACGTCCTTTTCCTCCTCCTTTCCCATCCTCTCCGGTGGCTGTCTTTTGGTTCCCACCAGTCCTTGATCGAAGGGGCTGCGCGGATGGGCCCCCGAACGCCACCGACCACCTCCCCCCCGCACCAGGAGGACGGAACCCGAAGGCCAGACCCGCCATACTGGCGCAGGGAGGAGGCCCAGGCGTTTGGCTGCCACAAACCTTCCTCACCACAGGGACGGAAGGGCCGAAACAACATCCAGACGGTCCGTCTACCGAGGGGGCTGGAAAATTAAACAATTAAGTATTCAACCAATTGGCACCACCACTCTGCCGCCTCAGTGTCATCTGCTGGGCGGGTCAGGGGCCAGGGCTTCGAGAAGTGCAGATCCTTGAGCCAAGGGCACCTTCCTTTCAAGATCCGCGCGCGGCTTTTGTTTGTTAACCAGCCTTGTTGCAGGGGCCAGCAAGCTAATGGGGGAGCCCCGAAGTGCAAACCCCGCATTCAAGACACAACAACCAGAAATAAACTTCGCTCCTCCACCTACAGCCGTAAAACGAATGGGATCTGAACGGGGGGGGATCCAGAACTTCTAGCAGCTGCTTTAAGCTGGGAAATAACGCTGCGCATTTACCTGAAGCCTTCTCTGTCCGGGGCGACCTGGCGGACTTGATGCACCTCCAGCACGGACCATTCCAAGGCACGCGGTGGCGACGGCCGCTGGGCAAACTTCAGCCTCGGGACACTGGGCCCCTTGGCCACATCCCCGAAACAGCTCTTTCACCGTCGGGATACCTCCAAGGAGTTGAATCACGCCTACTACCTTCTCCCAGCCCGCTAGGCACACGTCATAGAGATGGCTGTCTGCAAGCGCGTGCGCATGGTGTGAGCGTACTCCATCTCTCGCGCGCTCGTCGGCCGTGTCGTTGCCCGCCTTGTGACAAGCTGCATTGCCTGAGCACTCTGACTGGACGTGGGCCTAAACCTTCCACAATCCGAGCACGGTTACGCTTGACCTGTCAAGGGCGCGCCATACGTCTGACCGCAGGCTGGCTTCTGAGAGGGCGGCGCAAGGCTGGTTGGATCCTCCGAGCAAGGCCCAGCAATCGACGTGCACTAAATGCGACTTTGCGGAGCTCTCCACGAAGGCCTCCAGGTGCTGAGCGCCCGAGAAGACCGCGGACTTCCCCAGGGGCTGCATTCCGAGGCCGGCACCCAAGAACGATTCCAACAATGCCTCTGAAGAACTTGCCACTGTCGCCCACGGAAATGGATGCTCAACCCGCTCGAGCAACGCGGTCGTGCGTCGGCCCTCTGCAGGGCCCATCGCTATGCAGATGCTCGCGCAGGTTGAACTCGAAAGGCAGAGCGGGCCCGTCTGGGCCAACTTAATTGATTTTACCAATCCAGGAGGCCCCATGAAGGCCATAGGGGATGGAAAGCCATGGCTTGTCGAAAAAATCATGATCTCTTGCCTCGAGTCCTGCTCGCGACCACTCGGGCGGAATAGAAGCAGCTCGCTCGCCTGCAAGTCCTGGGCGCTGGAAGCATCTGTGCCAGACGCCGCCGATGGCGGCGAAAAAGGACAGAGGGGCGCCACCTAGTAGCCCCACTTGTGCAGGTGGCCGGCGGCGACGCAAGACCGAGCGATCACTTGCTGCATCGTGCGTTTCGCGCGGAGTTCCAGGAAGCCCTCGGGGGCTGGATCTAGGGGCCCCTGTCCAACGTCTCCTGGGCACGCTCGCATTCGCAGTCTTCTCGCCTTTGTCTGCGTCGCCTGTGGCCGCGCGGCCTCGCTGCCTAGGCCCCTCGCGAATTACTTGAGTACCGCGCAGCAGGGGGGCCCCTGAAAGTACGCAAGAGTCCATCGCATGTAAAAAGTTCCAAGACCTCGAATGGACCTGCCCGCTCTTTCGATCCAGAGAAGGAAGCATCTCCCACGGGGCCCCGAGGCAGTGTGTCCCAAGATGCTTCTGGGCGAAATTGTTGATGCTGCTTCGCCAGTCGAACCAATTTACAGAACTCACCCGCTAAAACGCAGTCCCCAGGTCGGATTTTGTCACCCGTAGATAGCCAGAACTCCTCAGCAAAGCGGGCCAGGGTCGCGCCAGCGTGCTTGTTCGGGCCCTTGCTTGGCTCAAGAGCGAAAGCAAGGTTGAGGTCGGCCCCGCAGGTCGGGGGGGCCCCAAAAAAAACAGCTGCCTGGGACCTCAATCGGCGAATCTCTCTGGAGCCCCACCCCACCGCCTCTGCTCCGTACGTCGTGGCAGGTTTGGCCGCGCAGTGCCAGATTCTGGCCATGGACCTCCCGGAACTTCTCAAGCTGCGAATCTTAGCTAACCTTTGTTTACCCTTCCTGCGCCTCTCCTTTCGTCTGGCCTCGAAAGATTTCTCATCGTTGCCAGGGGCGAAGTCAACTCCCACGTAGCTGACCGAAGGATTAAATCACCCAGCTTCCGACGCCCACAATGCATCAAGATAACGCCAGGCGCGCGACTGCGACACAATTCATGGAGCAAGCGATGTGACGCGGGCGGTCCCTCATGACCTGGCGCTTGCCATGTGTCAAGATGGGCTCGGGTCTAGATCGCCGCCCCGCTACTCCCGCCTCCCTTGGCAGTGATGCGGCACGGTGCCCAGTGCGACTTCCAGCCGGGCTTGCGAGCCATTTTCGCGCTCGCCCCACAGACCCTGGCCTTGAATGTTGGTTCCTTGTAGATATACATTATGAGCCCCGCTCTCGAGAATGCATGACTTTGCCGAATGCAGGCGATTGCCGTTGATTGTGAGAACCTGCAAACCATCCTTAACGCATGCCCGCTGAGCGTTACTCATGCGACTGTCTAAGCGGTGCCTCGCCCTCCGACCGAGACCCCTCCGACTCCTCATGCCTGCGCTTAGCTGCGTTCTCGGCTTCCGACTCCGCTGCTCTGCGTCGGCTCAAACGGGCCTGCTCCATCTCGACATCGGGTCGCCCCCCATGCTCCTCCGCTGCTGCGGCCGCCGCCGCCGCGGCTGCCCGAGGAGGTCATACTTCTTGCCCCGCTGCTGCCTGGGACTCTTCTGAGTAACCTGCAACGCCTCGAGTCTGTGCTGCAAGCTCTATCATGGGCGCCTGCAGCTCCTCGTTGAGCGTATCCGCCAGGCCTTGATGCAGAAAACTCATGCTGTTCAGAGAAGCTTGGACTGAGGTAATTGGAGTGTTCATCGCTATGGCTGAGAACAAGGCGCCCTTCCCCCCTTCTGGCGGGAGCCCAGGGAGGTCGCAAACATTCGGATCCATCCTCGCTCGATGCTGCTACACCAAAAGATTGTTCACCTTCACCTCCATCTCGGTGTACGTAGCCCTGGCTGACTCGAAGTCAGCCGCCACCAGTGCGCGCTTCAATTCCAAGTCGTCCAGCACTTCGTGTTGTTTCGTAGCGTAGTCCTTTTGCTTCTCCATCTGCTGCTGCGCTCTGAAGAGCCTGAAAGGTTCGCCTGTGTCAACGGGCTGTCGGTCTTTTCGAAATCTCGATCCCCTCGAAACTTGGCGAGAATGCAGCCCGTCAACGCCATCGCCTGCTCCGCCACGGTATGCTCAGTACCTACAGCACTCGTCTCCAGACGTTTCAGGAGGTCCAGGTAGTGCTGCAACTTCTGAATGGGCGGCCCTGACTTCTTCTTATCCTTCGGCACGGTGCCCTTCTCCTTCCCGCCAGACGACTCAGATGGTGCCTCTGACTGTCGTGAAGGCTCACGTGAAAACTCCTCCCAGTGCTGTCCGCACTGCCAGCACCACTGATGTCGTAGGTTGACACTGGCGGGACAATGTTTGACATGATCATGCGAACGCCTGCGCCGGCGCAGGCCATGGTGTCGGCGGCTTGCCTTTGCCTGGGAATCCTTTCTTGCCGAAGGAGCCTTTGCCGCCACGGGCCTTGCCTTTACCTTACCTCCGTTTTCCATCGAACTGAGGCTGAGGTACGGTCGTGCCCACTGCAGCCGCACGCTGGCTGTGTTGTCAGTGTGCAAGGAGATCGCCACCCTCGAGGCCTAACCCCCTAGGGTTTAACCCCTTGGGGGAAATGGCTTGAGCCAGGGCTTGAGCCAAGCTGCGGATTTGTCCTCCTCCTCCTCCTCCTCCTCCGCCTCCCCCTCCTCCCCCTCCTCCCCCCCTCGCCCCGGTTCTCCGTGGATCAGCCGAGCTCTGTTTCACACTATGTCTCTTCGCCACTTTGCCCGCCAACTCTTGCGGCCAAGGTTTCTGAACGGGTTGGTGGGGATACGCGACACGTGAAGAATTAAATTGCTCGACGCGGAGATCCCCAAATGCTTTTACTTGCCCACACGCTTTTTGCTGCGAGCAGAGGATAAACAAGAACACGTCTGAGTACATGGGAGCAGGTGAGTCTGAGTGTGAATGAGTCTGGACGTGAGTGAGTCTGAGTGAGCGAGTCTATGCGAACGAATGGCTCTGAATGCAAATCGTCTGAGTGTGGGAGTGCGCGCGAAGGGGTCTGAGTGCATTTGAGTGTGAGTGGTCCGTGTGCGAGTGTGAGTGTGAAAGGTATGGGAGTGTCCGAGTGTGGGTGTGGGTGTGAGAGGTCTGAACGGGCTAAATGTGAGCGTGAGTGGTCTGAATGTGAATTGTCTGAATGCGCGTGTGAGCTTGGGCTACGTGTAGTTGGCATCGCAACAACCAAATCGCCAGAGTCACTCCCACAATCTAGGCCCCTTGGGGTGCCGGAGCCAGTCACAATCTGCTCTGAACGCAGACGAGCCTGGGGTCCGAAGTAAGCAAACTGCCTACGAGACTCCGCAATCTGGGGACGAACGTGCCCGTGGTTTACCGCCATGGCGGCTCGTCCTTGGGGCGCAGTAACAAGCGCCTCGCCTGAGACATCCTCGCAAACTGGTCCGACAGCAAAAGATGTTGCCCATGCGAACAGGCAAACCGCCTGAGACATCCCCACAATCTTGGCGCGTATCCTGGAGTGTTCCCGCCTGGCAGCTCCCCCTTGGGAGTGCTGAAACCAGCGCCTCGCCTGAGACATCCTCACAAACTGCTCCAAAAGCAGAGGACTGCGCATGCAAACAGGAAAACCGCTTGAGACATCACCACAATCTTGGCGCGAATCCTGGAGTGTCCCCACCCCTGGCGGTTCCACCTTAGGGGGCCCAAGTGCCACGCCCCCTGTATCGCGGTGAACGTTGAGTGTGAGTGAGTCTGAGTGTGAGTGAGTTTGGATATGAGTGAGTCCGAGTATGAGTGAGTCTTCTGAGTACGAGTGAGTCCGAGTGCGCGTGAATATGAGCATGATTGAGCGACTGCACGAGGGAAGCGGGGGTGAGGTGAGGCGGGGGCGTCTGAGTAACAACAACAAAAAATCCTCGGACATGAGGAACAGGGCAGCACTACCTTTGCAAGGGGGTGTGCAGCCGCAGACAAGCGAGACGTCCACACACGAGCGGACTGCGGCGCGCGACCGAGCAGAACAGACTTCATGCACCAGAGGAGGAAGAGGAGGAGGAGGAGACGGGGGGGGAGGAGGAGGAGGAGGAGGAGGAGGAGGGGGAGGAGGAGGGGGAGGAGAGAAGGAGAAGGAGAAGGGAGGAAGAGAGGAGGAGGAGGAGAAGGAGGAGGAGGAGGAGGAGGAGGAGGAGGAGGAGGAGGAGGAGGAGGAGGAGGAGGAAGCGTCACGCACTGCCGCACAACGCGTCTCCATCGGCATGGCCGGCGCCGGCACGCGCCGCGCCTCCCCTGGACCGCTGGCCGGCGTGCAGCTGCGCCCTCCTCACGGCAATGAACGCCGCGGGCGAGCTCCTGGAGCTTGTCTGTTAGCTCATAAGATTAATAGCAGTTATGAGGATTCAAACAAATCGGTACTCGCCGATCTTATTGCTTTGTGTGCAATCAAAAACCCTAATAAGGACGCGCGGTAAGGACGCAAGACCCTTGGAAGCCGAAGTTGGGATTTCTGGGGCGGCGGACGACGAAAACCCCAAGGACGCAAGAGCAAGGAAGAGCAAGGACGCAAGGATACCCTGAGCAAAGTCGCGCGTCCTTATTTCGGGTGTTTGACTGTATGCGAGCTCCTGGAGATGTTGAGCTGGCGGGCGCCGCGCTGCCGCCCGGGCGGCGCCCGCGGGGGCGCGCTCCCCCCGACTGGCAGCAGGTCCCCCATGCGGTGCGCGGGCAGCAGCACGCGCGGGTCGTCGGGCTCCTCGGAGAACACGAACAGCGAGTCCTGGCCGTCACCCTCCCAGTCGTCTTCCTCCAGGAAGCCACAGTGAACATCGCTCGACCGAGGGGCAGGGCGGTGGGGCCGAGGCACCACGGCTCGATGGGGACGGGGAGCGATGCAACCGTGGGGACCCCCCCCGCTGCGAACCGCCGGTGGGCGGGCGCCCCTCCCTGTGGGGAGGAGGAGGGGGGAGGAAGCCCCGCAGATGCTCGCGGCCAACACTCGCCATCGCTCGGACGTCCAGTCCCCTGTGTTTTTGTCCGGTTTCGTGCGTGGTTTTTTAGCCAGATGATCAAGGATGCTGCTCGATGGCCCTCGCCGAAGGAAAAATGCACACGTCCGAACGATGCCAAGAACACGGGCGGAGGTGCCGCCTTGAGGCCGGGGACCGCGCCCCCCCCCGGGGGAGGGGGCGACCGACAGCAGGCGCAGAGACCCTAAGGGGGGGGGGGGCCGCGACTCGACCCGCGCGGGGAGCCCCGTCCCCGGCGCGCGGAGCGCGCCTGGGATTGGGGCGCCGCTGCGGGGGGGCCCCGCGCCGATCCGAGAGAGCTGCCAAGAGCTCCGAAGACAGCTGATGTTTCCGTTGTCCCCTCTATCGCACTTCAGGGCCACGTCCCAGAAACGATTTCGAACACCCAGAGAAGGGTGCCGAAACAGTCTCGGACGAGTGCCTCCCAGGGCCCGACGCGTGAAAACCCTCGAGCCTCGGTGCTTTCCTGGTGCTCGAACTTCTGTCTACTGACCAGGGCTAAAGTAGGTTGGAACATGAGCCGAAGCTGCAGTTTGTCATCCGTCGGCTCCTCCTCGTCGAAGCGCCTGCAGCCACGCCGGGCGACCACACTGGAGGTGGACGGCTCGGCGGCGCGCCCGAGCGGCAAAGACAGAAAGAGAGAGAGAGAGAGAGAGAGAGAAGGAAAGAAAGCGAGAAGGCCCTGCACGGCTTCCCCCGGGGCCGCAGGCGACGCGAGGAGGAGGAGGAGGAGAAGGAGGAGGAGGAGGAGGAGGAGGAGGGGGAGGAGGAGGAGGAGGAGGGGGAGGAGGAGGAGAAGGAGGAGGAAAAGGAGGAGGAGGAGAAGGGAGGAGGAGCGAGGAGGAGGAGGGAGGAGGAGGAGGAGGCGATCCCTGCTCGAGCCTCCCTGGGTTTGCAGGTTTCCATCCTACGAACGCAACACATGCATGGGCGAGCGCGAAGGGGTTCGCAATGAGGTGTGGTACTGCCCGAAGAAGTGTGGTTTCAAGACGAATTTCTCTTGGAAGAAGTTTTGCTACAAGTGTGGTATTGCTCACCCTGCTGCTCCCGCGGTCTCTCAGCCTCGAGGTGCCCAAGGAGCTTAGGCAAACGGACCGCCTTCTGGCAAGCCGAAGCCGAAGTACAAACTGCTCGTGCCTAGTCAAGTGGCCAGGTTCGTGCGCATGGCCAGCGACGATTTCGACGCGTGCAAGGGCCTGCTGTCTCCGTCGCAGCGGGCTCGCATTGTGGCGGGGCGTGCACTGGCTGCTGGTGATCCTCGTGCTGTGCAGAAACATGCCCCAGCCGTGCTGGATGATCTCAAGCGTCAGATCTCCCAGACGTCCAAGCAGATCAACAAAGTCGAGTCCGACCTCCAGAGCAAGGTCATGGAGCTGGTCAAGCTCCGCTCTTCGTTGGAGTCGCTGGAGGAGCAGGAGCGAATCGCCTCTGCTAAAGCCACTGCGGCTTGGGCGCAGTGCGCCTCTGGTGGTGTCGCCGCTTCCCGCGACGGCAAAGCGGTGTCTCCCGACGACCCCGCGTTCCCCTTGCTCATGCAGTTCCAGACGCTCGACCCCACGTTGGCGCAGTCGCTGCGCTCGTTGCTGGAGACTCGTGACAATTCGCTTGCACCTGAAGATCTTGAGTCTGATGGCTACGATTCCGAAGGAGACGAAGATGAAGATGACGGAGCTGCCATGGCCGACGCCCCACCTGGTGACGCCATCGTCACCGCCCCTCCTGCAGATGTACGTGACGTTAACGCTGCCGCACTTGCCGTGTTCGGAGGCCCGCCAGCTGAGTCGCCCTCTGCCGCTGGCGCTTCGCGTGCTGCCTCGCTCTCCAACGGGGGGATGGGCTCGGCGTTGGGGCGGGGACAGGGCGGGAAGGGATCGGCCGCCAGCGTTGGCGATCCGCCCGCCGCGCGGGTTGTTAAAAACTTCCTCAAGCAGCTCGCGACGGATAAGGGCCGGGGCGCCTTCCTCGCAAAGCGCGGCATCTCGCGCAAGCACGCCGACAGCATCATGGGCGGCATCAATGATGCCGCCCAAAAGAAGTTTCGCATCGCACCCTTCAGCCCGAGCTCGGCCTCGGATTCAGGAACGCCTTGCTCCTAGCTCGCGGCCGGACAAGGCCTGGTCGATTATAACGGGCAATGTCAGAGGCCAGGTCGGCCTCGATGCCTTTTGGGCGAACGCATTGTCTCTGACGTGTTGCTGGTGCAAACAAATAAAACTCTCGCGATCTCGGTTGAGTCGACTGAGGCCCGACTTCGTGGCGTCGGTTGGTCTGCCTCTCTCACGGCTGCGCTGCCGGCGCTCGGCAACCCTACGGGGGCACTTCTCACCGCCGCCCCGAAGCGCATCGGCCTGGGCTCCCTGGACACGCCGCCTCACGTTCTGCAGCCTGCTCGTGCGAGCCTTCATCATGTCGGTGGCATGGTTCGCGGTGGCTTCCTTGTTGTCAACCTCTACCTGGTGCATTCGGTTGGAGTGAATGAGATGAACTGGGACATCCTGTGCCGCGTGGGCTCTCAGTTCAAGTGCGCGGGCACGCCTTTCGTCGTCGGTGGCGACTGGAACCTCCCGCGCGCCGACCTAGTCAAGATGGGCTGGGTCGATGCGATGGACGCCGTCGTCGTCGCGCCTGACGGCGGCACGCGTCGCCCAGCCATGCGGTGCATCGATTATTTTGTTGTGTCTAGAGCTATTGCAGGTGGGGCCAGGGCTGAAATTGCCCACAATGCCCCCATCTCCCCTCACTACCCTGTTCGGCTCACGTTTCCGACTGTCGAGCCCGTTTGCGACGTAAGTTACGTCAGCGCCCAAAAAAGGTTTCCCCAGGAGCTCCCCATAGGCTGTGTTGGGCCCCCTGTTGACGGGCGGCGGGATCCTGTTGTTGTCCTCTGTTCTGACCCCTCTGCGCCTGCTCAGGCCATGTGGAATGAGTTTCTCCGTGCGGCGGAAGCCGAGTGGCTTTTGCGTCTTTCAGATTACGAAAGAGCAAACTGACCAGTGCGTGGGGCGCGATTAGCCTCTCGAGATTTCTTCTAAGGAGCCCCCTTTGCCCTGGGCCTCCGAGGTCCCCCAAGCTTTCCCCCGCCAGCGTCTTGCTCTCCGACTCCGCCCGCGACCCTGTGGGTGCCTACAGGCGGCAGCTTGTGTCCGCTGCCCATCGCTTGTCAGGTTTTCACCGTCTGCCCGACAGCGCGGCCCACGCTGCTTGGGCGGCCGTGCTGCGGCAGGTGGATTTCGAGCCGCTGCTCTCGGCGCAGGCGCTGGCCAGCCTTGCCGACGCAGAGGCCAAGCGCTCCCGGGGCGAGGCTGCCAACGCCAATGACAGGGATGGGAATAAGTGGGTTGACAAACTCGTCGGGGGGAATGCCGGCCCTCTTCAAATCCCCCCCCCTCCCCATCGGTTGGCAACCTGACTCCCTCGACCACTCCGCCCTCCGCCCTTGTTCTTCGACCGAGTCGATCGATGCGCTCGAGGCCGAGTGGAAACAATGGTGATCCGTTAGGTCCGAGAAAGTCCCCTTAGTTTGGGCTGCCCTTGGCGAGCCCCCCCCCCCCCCTCGGCCCATCCGAGCTGAGCTTGTGCAAGCTCTCCACTGGCTTCGATCAGGCGCGCCCTCGCTCGCTGCTGTTGCTGCCCCCCGTTGCGTTGGAGGCTCGTTGCGACGTCATCTCGCACGTTGAGCACAAGAGAGAGTGGCCTGTCATGTGGAATCGCATCGTCTTCGTCCGTAAACGGGTTGGAGGGTTGAGGCCTCTGGGGCTCCTTCATGTGCTGGCTCGTGTGCAATGCCGCCTGGGGCGCCCTCTCATTCGCCAGTGGCGCGCCCGCAACTGTCGGTCCTTTTTCCTGGCCCATCCATGGGAAGTCTTCGGACAAGTGCGTTTGGCCCCAGGCTGTCTGGTCGGGGCATTCGACCTATAAGAACCGTAGATGTGCGACGTTGCTGCTTGATTTAAGGAAGGCCTTTGAGTTGGTCCAGCACTGCCATCGTGCCAGGGCCGCCCAGGCCACTGGTTCCCCTATGTGGCAAATGTATCTCCTGGTGCAGATCAACAGGGCCCCGAGGCTGCTCGACGTTGCGGGCGAGGTTGGTTCTTTGCTGGGTGTCGAGCAAACCGTCGTGCCAGGATGTGTTTTACCCACGTGTATGTTGCAACTTATGCTGTTCGGTCCGCTAGACGCCGTGCAGGCCTCTGTCCCGACGGTGCAGCTGCCGGTCAATGTCGATGACTTCGGCCTCCTGCGCTGGGGCACGGAGTTGCGCGTTGTGCAGGATGCTGTCGCTGCTGGCAAGAAGCTCCGCAGCGAGCTTCTGGCCGTCGATCTCAAATTTGCTGCCGACAAGTCCCGAGTGCTCGGGAACACGCCGTCGGTTCGTAATTCGATTGCTTCCAAGCTAAAGAGCCTCCGACCCCTGCCTGTTAGGTCTGAGCGCAACTTAGGCGTTGATTTTGCTTCTGGGCTCGTTGGGGGCAAGGCCGCGACCGCCAGCCGCGTCAAGGCGATGCGCCTCAGGCGCCGCCGTATGTCCATCCTCAAGGGCTCTAAGCCTCGTCGCCGCGTGCTCGGGCGCGCGGCTCGGAGTGCCCTCGAGTCCTCTGTGTTGTATGGGTCTTCGGTCATGGGAACTAACGGGCAGGAGTTAGAGGTTCTTCGGGGTGCGGCTGGTAAGCTGCAAGACCATCGGCAGGATGGTAAGTCGCGCACTCTGGCGCTCTCGTTGCCCTTTCAGGTTCTTGACTTCGGCCTCCGCGAGGCCCGCGCTCGCTTGTCTGGGTTGGCCCACCCCTGGTCCTCCATCAGAAGCCCCTTATGTTCCCCGTGGGCCTCCCTTAGGCGCGCGGGCGTTACTGCTACCTCGGCCGCTGCCTGGATCAGGCCCGACGGGGCCGTCGTCAACCCCAGCGGCGATTGCCCCATGACGATCCAGAGCCCCCTGCATCGTGCGATTGAGATGTGGCAGCCCCAGGAAGTAGCTGAGTACCTCGAGAAGCCAGAGCTCGAGCGCGGGATCCGGTTGCAGCCTCTCATGTCATTGCTATGCTCTGGTATGCCAGCCGCGCAGAGGGCGCATCTTAGATCCACCACTGTCGGGGGCCAGTGGCCCCAGAAGCGCCAGTGGGCCGCGGGATACCCCACCTCGCCTCTCTGCCTCCTCTGCCCTGGTCAAGACAGTACGCTCTTGCACCGCCACTGTAGCTGCACGAAGCTGGAGGAGTTGGACGACCCTCCCCCTTTTCGAGCGCGCTTTGCCGATGCTGCTGTCGGCTCGCCTCTCGCCGCGATCCTCGCGGAGAGGTGCCTCGTGCCTATGCCGGCCTTGGCTCGGCCGCCCCCAGGGGTGGAAACCACCTGGGGCTGCGGCGACCCTGGCCTTTTTTCAAATGACATCTTCGTTGACGGCTCGGTCTTTGAAGCCGACTTCGCCTCCCTGGCGTCTGCTGGCTGGGGTGTGTCGCTCTCGACCCCATCCGTCCGCTTGTGGTTGCAAGGGTGTTTGGGCGTGTTCTTGACCCCTTGCAGTGCGTCAGCGCTGCCGCGCTCATGGCAGTGATCAACACGTTGAGATTCGCGGCGCCTCCGATTCGAGTCTTCACAGACTCGCAGTCCGTGTTTGAAGGTTTTCATGTGCGTGGCATCGTGGCCACGACCTCGTACGTATCTTCTCACGCCAACCCGTGGCGCGAGTTCTGGCGGCTTTATGGCAAATAAGGTGCGCTTGAACTGGTCAAGATCAAGGCGCACTCCGCTATTGCTGACGTTCAGCTGGGCAGGATCTCGCCCAGGCACCGCTTCGGCAACCTGCAGGCCGATCAGGCCGCTCGCACTGCAGTTGGTGCGGCTCGGCTTTCTCTCGCTGACAGGCAGCAGCTGCGCTCGAGGCTCAAAGTTGTGAAGTCCTGGTGTGCTTGGGTCGGTCGGTTGGAGGAAGGCCTGTCTGACTGCGGGCATCCGCCCAAGCACCTCAAAGGAAAGCCGCCGCAGACGCAGCTCATTCTTGTGCGCGACCCTGCTCAGGCCGACATCGTGTCTCGTGTGCTGGCCGCGCAGCGCACCATTGGAGCAGGGGAGCGCCAACATTCTTTGGTCCGTATTTCGCTCCACGACGGTCCTGTCGTTGTGGGCTGTTTGCGCTGCGCGAACTTCGCTGCTGTTCGCGTCGCATCCCTCGGCTTGCCCTGTCCTCCACATGCGACGGGTCACGGCAAGAAAACCGTGCGACGCCTTGCCAAAGGCGAGTTCAGACCCAATGCCAAGGTGCATCGGGTGGATTCGCAGGTACGCCTTTGAGAGGTGTGCCTGCTCGCGCATCGGCGCTCTGGCCGTGCGAGTGTCGCTTGGCCAATGGTGGTTGCAAGGTGCACCTTTGGCCACGCGTAGTCCTTTTCTGGCTGGTGGCTAACAGGCTCTGTTGGCTGCCAGGTGGTGCGCAGGGAGGGGGAGGAGGAGCAGGGAGGAGGAGCAGGAGAAGGAGAAGGAGAAGGAGGAGGGAGGAGGGAGGAGGAGGAGGAGGAGAGGAGGGGAGGAGGAGGAGGAGCAGGAGGAGGAGGATGAGGAGGAGGGAGAGAGAGAGAGAGAGAGAGAGCATGCAGGCCTTCTCGGAGTGCTCAGAAGACCTCTGGCCTTCTGACGAGCTTTGGGTCGGGCATGTCCTCTTGCAGGCGGCTTTTGGACGAAAAATCAAGAATAGTCCAAATATGCGAAACAAAATGCGAAACAGCATGCCCAACAAATGGTCAACAATAGTGAACACATAGCCAAACATAATCCAAAATTAATCAAATATGCGAAGCAATAGTCAAACAGAGTCAAGACATAACCAAGCAATGCGAGACAAATGCCCCAAAATACTCCAGAACTCGTCCCCAGACCATGTTTGACAACTTTTGATATTCCTCCTGTAGAGGGACACGCCTGACTTGAGACGAGCTTCCTGAGCCCCATCCGAAACGAAGAGACGGCCTCTCAGCAACCCGGCGAGCTTCTCAACAACCCCGCCGCCTTTGAGAAGGTCTGCCCCCGCGTCTGTTTCTCGGCTCATAACTCTGGTCTCCGGCAATCGCTCGGGACTATCCGGGCACCCCTGGGCACCTCTCGGCGAGGCGCAGCTGCTGGAACGCACCCAGGGGCTGGAAGACCGCCGATCGCAGACGACAGCGCCAGAACACCTCGGACTTCGAATACTACACTGAGATCGGGCGTGTCCCCCTACAGGCGGATGTTGGACGAAAAATCAAAATACTCAAACAGATTCGAACATAGTCAACAAAAATAGTCCAAACATCGTCCCCCGACTATTGTTTACTATCTTTGAATATTCCTCCTGTAGAGGGACGCGCCCGACTTAATACTACACTACCGAAAGTCCGATGCCGCGATGATTTTAGTGCGCTGTCCGCGAACGTCCCGACTCTTTGCGCAGGGCTGGTCTTTCACCAGCTCTCCGCGCCCTGACGCCCCCGAGGCCCAGGGCACTGCATGGCTTCCCCCGGGGCCGCAGGCGACGCGAGGAGAAGGAGGAGGAGGAGGAGGAGGAGGTGGAGGTGGAGGAGGGAGGTGGGTGGAGGGAGAGGAGGAGGAGGGAGGAGGAGGGAAGGAGGGAGGAAAGGAGGAGGAGGGAGGAGGAGGAGGGGAGGAGGGAGAGGAGGAGGAGGAGGAGGAGGACGGGTCGCGTAATCCCTTCGGAGAAACCCTCCACAGGGCCCCTGGAGGGAGGGGGCCTAAGCCCTTCGGAGAAACCCTCCACACGGCCCTCCCGTGGGGAGGAAGCCCTTCGGAGAAACCAGCCAAAATCTACTCCATGGGAGGGGCGGGGGAAGGGGAGTGCGAGGACCCGCGCTGATCGGCAAAACAATGAATAACAACGATCACCTAGGAAAAGCCTGTCTCGATGTTGGAGAAGGCCGCCCCCCTCCGCCTTTCTCGGAGGCTGGGCGAAGGCTGGCAAAACCGTGGCTGCCAAAACGCTCTTCCCGGCGGAAGACAAGACGGAATTCTCGGAATAGAACTCGGCGCGCGCTGAGTGGTAAATAGGCTGCCTCCCGGAAGAAAACGCAGCTTCCCCGAG